ATAAAATTTAGGTATTAATAAGAGTTGTGAAAATTAAATAGTTTAATTTAAATAATGTAAAATAATAAGTTTAAAAATTATCACCATAATAAAAATCAATAAATAGAAAAAGTATAAGTTTGTCCTTGTCTTGATTTAAATAAGAAAAATAAATTTAATCCTAAATTAATTTTGAATAATATAAAGTTGAGAAATGCTTTTATTTAAACAAAAAAAAAAAAAGCTTTACCAAAAAATGATATTTTTACCTCTTAACTGGTTTTAATATCCATAGAGTAAAAATATAAATAACGGAAATCGTAATCTTTCTTAAATAAGCTTGAAGCAAAATAATAAAAAAAGCGCGGGATTTTGATTTATGTACACAAAATGGCTTTAGGAAAAGAAAATATTAATGATTTTGATGAATACGTAAGAAAAAAAATAAGGAAATTATTTGATTTTGCTCAAAAACAGCACGGTCATCACAAAATAATTGAAAAGTGCAGAAAATTGCAAAAGAAATGTGTAAGAAAATGAGTAAACTTTTACACACACTTTACTTTTTGACATTTTGTTTGTGTCAAATATAAGGTTTTAAATGTTTGCTTTTATTTTAGAATTCAGAGTTTGATGAATTATTTTTAAAAGAGTTTACAAATGCTATTAGGTTTACTTTTATTTATCCAGAAAAGTTAGGAGTGGATAATATTCTTTCTTTTGTATCCAAATATGTCACAACCACATATATTCCTAATGAAGAAAATGATATTTTAGATAGCACAGTTGATGAAACTTCTCCTTTCATCAGTGAAATTTTAACATTTTTATGTAAAGTTAGTATCGACTCTAAACTCTTTTAGTTCTCTTTTAGTTTTCTAAAGTTTTTATTTTGAAATTCTTAAATATAAATCAATATTTTAGACACATGGAGCAGCTTTAGTCGATGCTCGTTTAAGGTGCATGCAACTCTTAACTAAAATTCTTTCTGGAATGCCTGAAAACTCATTAATAAGTGATGAAATATGGATGAAACTAAAAGAAGCTGTATTGTCAAGATTACAAGACAAAAATTCAGGAGTACGAGCTCAGGCTGTGCTCAGTGCGAGAATGTTGCAAGACCCAAAAAATCCTGATTGTGAAGTTATTAAAGGTCTTTTAAGCATTATATTTATTACATAACAAAACATTTTTTTAATTGTTAATATCATATTTACTTATAACTTCCTTTACAGCTCTTATTTTTCATTTTAATGATCCAAGTCCTGCTGTTAGAAGAGCTGTTACTTCTTCGATAGCTTTAAATAAAATAACAATAGCTCATCTACTGGCTAGAACTAGAGATATCAGTGATAATGTTCGAAGAAATGCATATTTAGTATTTTCAAAAATTAAGTGTTTAAATTTAACCATCAAATATAGAATAACAATTTTAGAAAGAGGTCTTCAAGATAGATCAGGTAATATTTTAAAATCTTTATTAGGATTTATCGATTAGAATAAAAAAAATTTTTCAATTAATTTTTTCAGATATGGTTCGAAAATGTGTAGAACAATATGTTGTCATTAATTGGTATGAAAATTTTAATAGGGATGTTATTAAATTTTTAAAAGCTTTAGATGTGGTTAACTGCTCTGAAGTTGCAATTAAAACTATCGAAGCTCTATTAAAGTTAGTACATTTTAATTTTTTGTATAACATCTTAGACTATTTTTTATAAGTAATTATCTTTATATGTGTGATTATCACTTTTTTTTTTTTAATTACTTCAGAACTCAGCCATTAGAAGACTTAATTAAACAATTAAAATTAACAGAAGAAACTAAACTAATTTCGGAAGAAAACTTATCTCCTGAAGTAGTTTTATTTTGGAGATGTTTAGCTCTTTCTTTTTTAAAAGATGGAAAAGAAGATGAATTAGAATCGATAACTCCAAATTTGACAATTCTTTGCAATTTTATCAGAAGGTAAATTTTTTATTTTTTTTTAGGTTTTTTTCATGCTGTTGAGCACTTTGAAATTATTATTTCAGGTTTTATTTGTCGAAAGAAAAAAATGAAACTCAAACGGAAGATGAAAAATGGGCAGAAATTCAAAATAAAGAAATTTTAATGCATTTGATTCAATTAGTAAAAGTTTATGATTTTAGTGATGAAATGGGAAGGTAATTATTATTTTAACTCGTTTTTATTGATTTTTGAAATGAAAACTTAAATTTTTTATATGAAAAAACCTTTTTTTTTGTAACAGGTTAAAATTGAAAGAATTAATTATTGATATATTGATTGGGCCAAAAATTCAAAAAAATATAATAAAAGCACTTGTAGAATTATTAACACTTGTAATTCCAAACAAAGAATCATTTATTCAAGAATTAACTGAAGTTATTTCGGAAATTCGTCAACCTCTTAGAACGATTGTAACTGAAATTTCACAAAAAGACAAAATGGAAAGAAATTTAAAAGTAATTGAAAGAAAATTTTTCTCGTTTTTTAAATTAAAAAATTCTAATTTAAATTCTAATTTTTAGATATCCGATTTAAAAATTTTATTAAACGATTTACAAGAGAGAGAATATAATGCGGTTAAAGATAAAAATTATTCGGAAGCTCAATTGCTTAAAGAACAAATAGAATCTACTAAAAATGAATTAAAAGAAATCGAAGAAAAACCCACGACTTTAACTCATGAGGTTCGAATTATTACATTCACTCATTGGTTGTTTTTTTTTTTTTAAATAAAATTCTAATCGTAAATGATTTCGTAGGTAAACGAAGAAAAAAATGATCCCGTAACACTTTGTAATTGTCTTTCAATCTTGATTGAAATGATTAAAAATAGTAATGTAAGGGTTGAAACCCCTCAATTGCTTGCATTAAGAGAAAATTTTTTAAATCAGTGCATGGCGAGCAGAGATTTATTAACCCAATCGTTAGCCATCGAAGCTTCCGCACAATACAGCATATTAAATAAAGAATTTGCAAAACAAAGTTTTATTAGATTTTTATTAATGGTAAGCGAAATTATTAATTAAAATCAAAAAGGGTTTCCCATAATTGAATTCGTAAATGTTGATTCGATTATTATTTATAGATATCAGAAGATGGTGATAATGAAATATGCATTCCATCATTAAAAGGAGTTTTTGACATAATACAAACGCACGGTTTAAACCCGCTTGAGGAATTACAATTCGATAATAGTAAATTATTTTAAAAATAATTTTCACGAAAATTAATATAAATTTCATAAATACTTTTTTTCGTTAAAAATTTTTGTTTTATTTAAAAATTAGAAAAAAGCGGCGACGAAAACTGTTCACTGAGCGAAAAAAGTAATAATTCGAATGGGGATTCAATTTGGTTGAATGAATTGAATGAATCATTTTCCGAAATGACATGTTTGAAAAATTTAACTGCTTTGTTATCCTGCGAAAAGGTATCGACACTATTTGGTTTTTTTTTTTTTTTTTTTTTAAAGTTACGTTTAAACGTTTTAATAATTAAATTTTTATTTTTATAGAATGATTTATTAAAAAGAGTTGCTTACGAGGGTCTTTGTAAACTTTTACTCACCGGAATTATTTATTCGCCTACAATACTAAGTAAAATAATAATAAAAGGCTTCAGTCCGATCATAGGTAAAAAAAAAAAAAAAAAAAAAAAATTTCCACCGTTTTATTTTATCAACATGGTTGCATAAAAGGTTCTCTATTTCAGATTGCGAATCCGAAGATTACATTCGTCAAACGTTTGTCGTTTTTTTTCCAATTTTTGCATCCAACACTCCTCGAAGTCAAGAAATGATTGAAATGGTTTTCATTCCAACATTAAAAGCCATCGAGAGTTCTCCGTTAGGTTCACCGGAATCCGATATTAATTTAAAAGATGTCGTCGCTTTTCTCGTTGATCACACGAAACCAGAAATTAATAAATTTACCGAAAAAGTAATTAATTTGCTTTATGGCCGATCGTTTGACGTCATATTTGAATTGTTCCCCGATTTCTTTTAGACGTTACACGTTCATAATAATTTGAGCCTATCTCTTTGCCACGAAATCTATAAAAATTTACAAGACGAAGAAGAATCGACTGCTCTTATGCACATTTATTTCAAAGCACTTAATCTCCTCCAAATATCAATCGAAAGCGAAAATTTTTATCAACAATTACAAACCATAACAAAAAAAATGGAAGAGGTAAAAAATTTAAAAAAAAAAAAAAAGTTAAATTTGTTAAATAAAATGATTTCTTGCAATAATTACATTTCGAAATTTCAGGCCTTAACCGATTCATATTCTCTACGAGCTTTGGCAACATTTAAAAAAAATTTAATTAAAAAACGTAGTAGTTTGGATGTGGTTTCATCTGTGGAAAATACATTGGCGACAACGAGAAATTCAAGGGCATCGTCCAGATTACAAAGCAAAAAAGATTTTACTATTTTATCATTGGATAAACCCTCATCCGAATCAACCATAATAAATTCTAAAGTATTTTAAAAAAAAAAAATTTTTTTATTTTTTTTTTTTTCTAATTTAATTCAAACTTACCTCGTATGATTTGATTTCAGGTGAGAGAATCGTCAAATCGTATCGCCGATGAAACGTCATCATCCGATAGTGCGGATACATTAAATTCACCAAAAAGAAATAAAAGCAGTCGAGTATTTGTACCTGAAAGTCCAGAAATTGAATCGGATTAAAAATGGAAAAAAATTTTTTTAAATATTTTGTCGTTGTTAGTAAATAAAATTTGATTTTTATTTTAATGATTTCGTTTATACCCAGAAAAATTTACAATTATTTATTAAATATTTGTATTTTATCGATCATCTTGTTTTGATGGCGGTCGAGTTGCGCGTTTTCGATTTCATATCATAATAATAACACGATAACAAAACGTAACAATATGTTGCCTTCCCGCGTAGTTTTCTCGTTTTATTTATTTATATTAGTCGATTGTAATAAAGATGAGGTTGTTTATAAATTTCAAGAATTTTTTTACAAAGGGAATTCGAAAAATGTGAGTTTAAATAGAAATAAAGAAAAACCTTAAGATCGATTAAATATTATTTTATCATCATCATCATCATCCAATCGGATTGTTTCGCGTCTTTGAAAAGGACGTTTAAGATTTTAATCCGTACGAAAATTTAATTTTTTGTTTGTTTTTTAGGAAATAGCATTTAGAGAATTTGAATCCGCGTGCGAACAAAATCCGGATTGTATGTCAAAAATGGGACCAGAAAGATTTTCATGCGTGAGAAAATGCATATCTCCATCGTGTCATCAAGATCTTTACGGTGATGATCCTTTGGAAGAAGGTGAAATTGACGTGAGATTAAATTCGTTCAAAGGTTGTTTCACGCAAAGATTAAACAGGCCGAGACAGTGAACGAACAAACATAAAAAAAAAACTATACGGGAACTAAATGGAAACGCACCCAAAATAAAATAATCTATCGATGACTCGTTTTAACTTTATAGAGCTCAAAAATAATAAATATTCAACAGCAGCATTCAAGTACCCATCAAATTAAATATATAAAAAGAACGAGTAAAGATTTATAATTATCAAGAGGTTGTTTTAATATATCGTCAAATATATATCGTTATCATTTTATTGTTATCAATTAGTTTTATTAATGTATTTTAAATGTTATTCATTTTTTTTACAATAAATTTTTTTAAATATATATATTAAAAATTTTTTTTTAATCATTCGATTCGAAATAATTAGTAAACTTATCGTATAAATCCCTCGAGTTATCGAATTTATTTAAATGTTCTAGAACGTTATCAAAAGTTTTCTTATATATATTTCCATATATTTTTCTTTTCGATTGATATTCGTTTAATTTAATATTATTTCGTTCCAACCAAACGAATAAAAAATTTTTCATGTTTTCCGATTTATTTAAACGAGGTAAATGATAATTAATAACTTCTGTTAAAAGTGGATCCGTCATTAATTCTAAATTATTATAATTTAAATCTTTTGTATTATCGAGAAGAAGAAATGATTTAAGACAAAGCCAACATTTTTCCGATATGTTATTAAAATTCTGCAATAATTAAATAAAAAATTTAATCGATAATTACAAAATGGGAAAAAGAAAAAACATTATTACTAATACCTGAATGCATAAATTTTCTACTTCGAAAAATAAAATTTCAATTAAATTTAAATTTATTTCTTCCAATGTGAAAAAAACCGAATGAAAATTCGTCGATATAATTTCGTTTAAAAAATCAAGACAAACATTTAAAACTTGGAAATTTTTTTTCTCTAATATTTTCAATAACGAATCCCCGCGAAATTTTATTTTTTTTTTCAATTTCTAACAAAAAGAAAATTTTTTCCTCTTTATTTAATAATCGCTTTTCCAACGACAAAATTTATTAATTTGACTCACTTCCTCTTCCGTTGTTTTAATTTGATTACCGTTTTTCCAAAAAATTGTCAATAATTTTAAACTTATCGTTATTATTTCAACAATATTTGAATCCATTCCGCTCGTTATTATTTTTTCAACGAATTCAACGTTACGTAAAAATGTTTCAATAACTAATCATTATTATTAAATTATTATAATTTGTTGTTGATATTAAAAAAAAAAAAAAAAAAAAAAAAAACTAAATTTAACCTCTTATATCGTCCATTTCAATTCCCAATTTCAATAATGAATAAGTTAATGTAAAACATGGTAAAATTGTTATCAAATCCGATTTGATAAAAACTTGTGACAAAAGGGATGAAATTCTTATTATTGTAACGATATCAAAACAACATTTGGGACTTTTTAAACTGCTTAATTCTATTACGTAATCCACATTTTTAGCTATAAAAAAAAAACAAATTTTCCCGGATAAAATTATTATTACGTTTAAGGAAAAAACTTTAGGAAAAATACGTACCTGAAGTTAAATCCGATATGTATTTACCCAACATTTGTGGTAAAATAAACCAAATATTTCCTGTTAAATTTTCATATTCACCCTCTGATAATATAGAATGTAATGTTGAATATGCCAAATCTAATACTTGTCCGGAATCATTTTGTAAAACGTCCTTAAAATTAATAATAATAATTATTTTTTAAATCACAATAAGGTTTAAAATGAGAAAAAAAAAAAAAAAACAGGGAAAAAGGTTTTAACGTACCAAAATTGCAAATCTAACATCCGATGATTTTTTAATTAATTCTTCCAATTCTTTACAATCTGATGTTTTATTCAAAAGCCAAAGACGAATCTACAAAAAAAAAAAAAATTATAATTTAATTGTTTGTTTTTATAATAAATTCCTTCAATTAAATAATAAAACCAACAATTTTTAATTGAAGTACCGAACCGATTTCGCAAGAAAATGCCCAATAAAGTATGGCGGGATGATGAGTGTATGACAATGACAAATCATTTTGAATTTCTAGAGCAAATATTATTTTATTTTTTGCTTCGATATCATTTTCACTACGATTGTAATAATCAGATGATAATTGTGACATCTGAAATAATAATAATGATTTGAATTAAATATTAAAAATATAATAAATATAAAAAAAAATAAAATGAAAAAAACTTACAACGAAAATAAACCATATGATTTTAATTAAAAATGGCGAAGTTTCAAAACCTTTCGATACGTTTATGAATGTCACAATGGAGGGATATATAATTTTGATTGTATTTTGACTAAAAAACAAAAAAATTTTTAATTATTTTTTAAATACATATGTGTAGAATTTCATGATTTATAATAACCTTTTAGCCGTTATGCAATAAAAGTAGAGATAAATCAAAATGGAAATTTTACAAATGTGAGGACAATGTGGACTAATTAAAACTTGTAGCCATTTTGAACCATCCAATGGAAGTTTTGAAAATCCGTTATAAATTTCTTTTTGAAAATTATCCACTCCTTCTATTTCGATTTTACTTATCATGAGTACGTCTTCGGATAAATTTATAATTACGTATGAAAGTACAAGGACTCCAAGTTTACGAATGTGCAAACAATGTCTGTACATGAAAAAAAAAACAAAAATATATATTTATTAACGTTGGGAAAATTTGTCTAAAATTACTTTTGAAATTTTTTTTTTTTACTTTTTCCAAAAAAAACTTACTCCACGTTTGAAGAAAGAGTAATTATTCGTGATAAAAATTGTAAAAATCCTTTTTCGCACAATCCATGAGTCAGATAAGTTTTATCAGTAGATATTTCATCTTTGTAAACATATAATAATAATTGAAAAATATTATCAACAAACAATAATTTTTTCGAATCATTTTCTATTTGGGATAAAGGCATGACCTGAAATAAAAGTTAATAAGATTAAATTATTAATAAATAAGTAATAATAATGATTATTGTTGTTTTAATGATACGTCTAAATAAGGGATTCCCACGTTGATTAGAAATTTTTTTATATTTTCAATTAAATTATTTTTAACTTGTTCATATTTTTTGGAATAATTTTCCTCCACATCAGAATTATTTAATATAATTAATCTGCAATATTAAAAATTATATAATTTTTTTTTTTATTCAATGCTAGTCTTTAACAAAAGATAGTTTTTTTTTATACTTTAAAACAGAGTGACAAAGAAATTCATAAAGAAAAAATAAATCGTCTTTTATTGGATGTTCCAAATAAAAAAATTCATCTATTATACTCATCCACGAAAGTAAATTTTCCATGATAATTTCAAAATTTGAATAATTTAATACGGACGAATTTAAATTTATTATATTTAAAATAATACATCCGATTTGATATTTATTTTGTACGTTTGTAAATCCACTTTTGAGTAATTCTGGAAGTGCATTCAAAATACTTTCTAGAGTTTTTGTTTCTGGATTAATATTGTACATATTATACCTTTAATTAAATAATTTTAATGTAAAATTTCTTTTTTAAAATTAAAATTTTTGCAATTTTTTAACTTACCCTTGAGTGATTAACACTAGTAAATTAATACATTGACTTAATATAGAATGTTGATTGGAATCTTTAAGTAAAAAATGTGCAGATCTAACAAGAGATTCAATCACAAACCAAGAATGTTTTTGAATAAAAAATTCTGAATGTTGAATTAAATGTTCTAAACAATAATGAACAGCACTAAAATCAAATATACAATACTTTTAAGTTTAAATAAATAGATAAATTATTAAGTTAATAATTATTAAAATTTATTATTACCTGCAAACAACATTGTCAAATGGTTTAATGACGTCACATAAAAACTCAGCAATGTCTGAAGTTATTAAGTAAACCAATGTATTTTCCTCATTTAAATAAACTTTAATTTTTTCTATTGATTGAATTATTTGCTTTTTATCTCCAGATAACAGCATTAATTTTATTTCTCGTACATCTGATGACATTGCATTATTGGTGCAATTTGGCGAATCCTCAATAGAACTTATAGAATCCGAATCCATTTTTTGAAAAATAAAACGAAAAAACTAATACCTAATAGCCTTTTAATGTTATTAATACAAAATACTCCCTTTTTTTTAAAATAAAACGATGTCACAAATGGTAAATTTAGTATTTTAACTAATAAATTAAAAAAAACACTCAATTCGTTAAATAACGTTTTTTTTCTTTTGAAAAATTCTTTAAAGATGGAGAAATTGATTATTACTCTATGATTTTTTAAAAACTATTTAGCGTAGTTTTTTAAACTGATTGATTAAACTATGAGCATTTAAAATAGTTATTAAAATCATGTTATGTAATAATTACTCAATATAAAGGTTTTAATGTATAATTTCTCCTGTTTAAATAAAAAATTAACAATGTTTAAGGATTAAAAAAAAAGGTTTAAAGAAAAAACAATAATTAACTCATTTAAAAATATTTAATATTCTAACCTTTCAAAATTTACAATCTTAATCAATGATCAATCACTTCACAGTATTAATTATATATGAACTTATTTCCTTTATTACAATACTATTAATTTAAGGCGAAAAGAAAAAAAGAAAAAAAAATTACTTTGGAAAAAAAAAAAAAAATTTAATTTCGAGTAAAATATTTATTAAATAATTTCTAAATAAAGTTTGGCTACTTAACAATTTCTAGCTGATGGAATCATTGTCCTAATTTACAAAGCTGAAAAAAAAATTATAATTTTTTATAAAATATTAAATTATAAAAAAAAAACATTAACCAAGAATTAACTATAGTAATATTCACAACTTAACCGAAAAAATAATAAAAGAAAAGAATCGTAGTTTACTTTTGTTTTCAAATAAATATATTTTTTAAATAAGTTAGAACAAAATAAAATCGAATAATTTCATTAAATCAATTGTTATGGCATTAGAATATTTTTATTTGGATTCAATATTTTATTTAAGGTTTTTGCATGCATTACTCTTCTTGTTTAAATAATTTAGACATTTTTTTTCTATTTTTTTTTTTAATTTTTTTGAAAAGGATCATTCACAATTTGTTACTTTACTCCTGAAATTGAAGGAAATGCTCATGCCTAAAGCAATCAAGTATAATAAAAAAAAAACTTTTAAATTACTGACTTATTGAATTATCTTACCGTGACTGGCTTTACATTGTCTTAAAGCCTCATTGAAACCTTCACATAAAGTCAAATCAGATTGGTTTTGGGCACATTGCAAGAATTGCTTGATTTCCCAAGCGCATGCTCCAGTTGGTTCAGTTGGGCCACCTTGCATTGCTTGTTGTGGTTGCTGTTGTTGTTGGGCCTGAACATCATGAGATGATCCACCACTGAAGGCTCCTGTTAATGCACTTCCTACGGTATGACCCTGAGTAGAAAACAAGAAACATTATTTAAATTTTGAAAACTACTATGTTAAATATACATGTGTATACAAATGAAGAAAATAAGTTTTTATATTTTGACTGCCACATACAACAGCTGTTCCAGCTGCCACACCAGCAGCTGTAGCACCAAAAGTTCTCATCATTCCAGGTTGCTGATGTTTCACGATTACTACTTTCTCCTGCTGCCTTGGAACAGTTTGAGGAGGTGGTCGAGCGGGAGCAGCAGGAGCAGCAGACCTGAAAAAAAAATATTTGACTAGTATTTACTTACATTGCTGATCTACAGCTACACACAGCAGTGGCAGCCATCTGCTTGAACAAAGACGGCTGCTGAGTTTGTTGCATCATAGCTGGAGCTGGAGCTGGAGCTGCAGGTGCAGGTGCAGGTGGAGGTGCAGGGCGCCTCATTGGCATTGTTGATGCCGATCTGAAATAAATAAATTTTTATTATAGAGGAGAAATGCTTATTTAAACAAAAAAAAAAAAAAATTCTTATTTTAATATCGCATCATGGCAGCCAAAGACTGACCTGCCTTAAAATACAATTCAGTTTACATATATAAAAACAAAAAAAAAAGTATTTACCTAGACGGTGGAGAAGCACTTCTACCCCGACGTGGCATTTTCAATTATTAAACAAATAAATTTAAATTATTAATTAAAAATTATCACTTGTGAAATATCACAATCACACACTTAGCACAAATAACAAGAAAATGAAATGTAAAATGTCTATCGTCTGCTAGTGAATGCGTCATAATCTCTCATTGGATATTAACATTAATCACGTGATAGCATAATTCATTTTATATCTATGACATTTTTTTTTAATTTGAAATTTCCCATAATTAATGAAAATAAAATTTTTAATAATACATACTTCGCATTGATTAGAATTACAATTAATAGACACAAACAAGCATTAAGACAGAGTTAATAAAAAAAAATACTGACAATCTAATTTACTCGATTACAAATAAATAAATATATCAAATAACTTGAATTACGTTTCGTCGTCAATACTTAAAAATGAGAGTTTTTAAAAAAAGTTAAATTTTTGTTTGTACTCTTTGAACTTAATGAAAAAGTAAATAATTAATTAATAATTTTTTTAAAAAAACGAAATCTTATTTAATCTTATAACTCGACGGAATAAAAAATTACAACATTAAATAATTTACCCATAACTTCTAGCAGGGGGTCTGCTAGGTGATTTTCTAGATCCTCCTCTTTGAGACATTTTATAATATGAAAAATAAAAAAAAAAAAAAATTTGAGAAATAAATTTTACAAAAAATTTAGAATTTTAAAAATAAATGGCCAATAAAATTTTTGTAAACAAACAAGAGCATTTTAAATCATTTGTTTATTTTTTTTTTACTCTTTGATATTTTCAAACTTTTATTATAAGTTTTTTTTTTTATCAACAAATTCTTGACAAAAAAAATTTTTTTTTTTTTTTTTAAAAAGTACTAAATACTTGTTTTCATGCTTAAAAATTTGCTAAAATTTCCAGGTTTAACCAAATAGTTTTTCCCATGTCAGAAATAATAAAGTATGTTTTTCACAGTAGGGTGGCTATTCATTAAAACATGACAAAAAATTGTATTGTGCCATTTATTTTATAAAAATTGCAACAAACAAGTGCTTCGTTTTTATTTTCCTTTTTCTTTCATGCTATCGCATGTATTCTTTATCTTTTCTTTTGATTAGAACATTGTTCTTTTTTATGCAAAGAATAAAAGAAAACTACTTATTTGCTCTAAAAGTAAAAGATGGCGTCTCTTTTTTTTTTTCCTTGGTGCAAAAATATATTTTTTTATATGATTTGACACCAATAAAATAAAATAAAAAATAAATTATTACTATTATTATTTTTCAAAAATAATATATTGGACATATTGGCATTTATCAAAAAAAAAAATTTTTGAATTATCAAGTCGTGGAATTAGAACGACTCGGAATTAGTTTAAATAAACTCCTAAAGATGGCAGTCAAATCAAAAAGTGTCTTTAAAAAACAAAGTAATGATACGTCAATTATCTGGGCGGTCGTTTTCTGCCATGGTGGGCAAAACTATGGAAGAGAGGGTAAGATAATTGTTAGAAACAAAACAAAAAATATATGAAATAATTGGGTAGACGAAGGTAAAACAACTCAAGTGGGAGGTAAAATCAACTTAAAAAAAAGCACATAAAACTGTTTTATTAAATTTTTTTTTTTTTTACTCACAAAACATCAAAAATTTATATATAAAAAAAAAAAAGGAAAAGGAAAAGGAAAAGGGAGAAAAAGAAAGAAAAAATTATTTTTTTTTTTTTTAGTTACAATTAGGTTGTTTGATTGTCGATCCGGTATCGAATTTTTTCTTTGTCGGTTTTATTTATTTTCATAGAGTGTATACGTTCTTTCGATCGATCAATGGCGGTTATAATAACAAAAAAAATAACCAAAAAAAAGTGTTTACGCGTATTACCCTAATACACGAGGATATTTATTTCTAAATCCCGTTTTATTGCCCATAATAAATGGATAAAAAAAATTCGTTACTCAACGAGGGTATAATAATCATCGCGGTTTTTGTGTGATGAAAAAATTTGTTTTTTTGCATCATTGATTTTTTATTAAAAAAAAAAAAAAAACGTTTATTTTTTATGTATAATATATAAATCGATATCGATTATCAAATTCGAATAATAATAATAAAAATAAGTAAATAAAAAATGAGAGAAATTATTGGTGAGTAAATGTAATTTATAAAAAAAAAAAAAAATATTTGCATCACAAATGAATGATAATCGGTCGGTCGATCGATCGTTTCCACCGCCATCTAAAATTGTTTTGTTTTTTGAAATTTCAAATGGCGGAACGTTCGTTTTCCGTCGGACTTTTTTCTAATGCTTTTAAATTTAAATTTCTATTTTCTTTCTTTTAAAAATAAATTAAATTTTATTTAATTATTTATTTTAATGATTTATCCCGGCCGAATATAATAAAACAAACATTCAAACAATCATTTTTATTTTATTTTTTTGATATTAATTTTAACAAATAATTAACGGTTTTTTTTAAAACAAAATGTTTTGTAAGTGATGACGACACGAAAAAAATTATTAAATATTATTTTTTGATTAAATTAACTCCGGCATAGAATTTAAAATGTAAAAAACAAAAAAACAAAAAAATTTAACGAGTTGCAAAAAGAAAAAGCAATTAATATTCGTTGTTGTTGTTGTTGTTATGTAATTAAATTACCCGCCATTTTAATAATCAATACTACCAACAACATAAATAAATTTGCCATTCGAAAAAAAAAGAAAATACACAACTCTCACGTATTAGACATTGAAATAAATCAAAATTATTTATTTATTTTTATTTTTATTTTTTATCTTATTTTTTTATAATTTACAATTTTGTTTTTTGTTTTTTTTTTTAAACACAAATATAAATAAATAAAAAATAAATGAATATTTAA